AAGACATTGCATTTGACTCAAGATTGTTTTTCTTAAAACAAGATTTGTCTCACTTGAGACAGTTTTTACTCGAAACAAGAATATTTATTTCACTTAAGATTGATTTTCTTAAAACAAGATTTGTCTCGCTTGAGACGGTTTTTACTCGAAAGAAGGCATTTCATTTCACCCAAGATTGTTTTTAAAGAAGATTTTATCTCGCTTTAGATAGTTTCCCTCGAAACAGAAGATTTTATCTCGCTTGAGATAGTTTCCCTCGAAACAGAAGATTTTGTCTCGCTTGAGATAGTTTCCCTCGAAATAGAAGATTTTATCTCGCTTGAGATAGTTTCCCTCAAACCAGAATATTTTATCTCGCTTGACCTCGAAACAGAAGATTTTATCTCGCTTGAGATAGTTTCCCTCGAAACAGAAGATTTTGTCTCGCTTGAGATAGTTTCCCTCGAAACAGAAAATTTTATCTCGCTTGAGATAGTTTCCCTCGAAACAGAAGATTTTATCTTGCTTGAGATAGTTTCCCTCGAAACATAAGAATTTGTCTGGCTTGAGATAGTTTCCCTCGAAACAGAAGATTTTGTCTGGCTTGAGATAATTTCCCTCGAAATAGAAGATTTTATCTCGCTTGAGATAGTTTCCCTCGAAACAGAAAATTTTGTCTCGCATGAGATCGTTTCCCTCGAAACAAAAGATTTTATCTCGCTTGAGATAGTTTCCCTCGAAATAGAAGATTTTATAAGAAACTAAGTTTGATTTTCAAGGTTTTCTTGATGAGTAAGTCCTTTGGGCCATCAGTAAGTCTTTCGAACATAATGCTTAAATCCTTCGGGTCATCTATAAGTCTTTCGAGCAGGATGATAAGACCTTCGGGCCATCCATAAGACCTTCCGGCAGGGTGTTTTCATTATTTCTGATACTCAATTCATCACATATGGAGTTGAATCAACAATACCTCACTCGAGGGACCAACATTGTTAGTAGAGAATTCATATTGAAGAGCTTGTTTAACATTTTCTTGATTCACGACATCTCAAATCAGTAACGCCTCGCTAGAGAGATCAGCATTTCCAATGGAAAGACCAGGATGAGAAAAACCCATAACTAGAAGAACTGAAGATGAAGACTCAACCAAGAGAACGAAACAAAGATGACATCATTTGCAGCAAGGACCCGACGAATTTCGCAGGAAGTAGTTTGACATACCCAACGAAGAGTTCATAATGAGAAGAACTCGCCCGATCAGAAGAAATTGGAGCTCAAGATTTTAGCAGCTTAGGCCAGATAAAAATTGGTGCTTTACGTCTTTGCCCTATTCCTGTTTCACAACAACGACAAAGAGGGGCACCTGTAATCACCAATTTTCAAATTTTCAACACCTACCATCCCACCATCCCATATTTCAACACCTACCATCCCACCATCACGTGTTTCCTGCAAAAACTAAAGCATAACCACCTAACTAGTTTGTTGACTTTTTTATGTTAAACTTATGTAAAGTTTATCTATAAAAAATGGAACGAAATGTACAAACAGGGGGACGATTGGAACAGTAAAACAAAAGTTATACAATTGTAAGGGGTTTTTGTTCAGATCTACAAGAAAGCAATAAAAAGTCTAGATTCGAATGTTTTTGTTGGAGTTATATTTTTTATTTATTTTGCTAGTTCAAAAAAAAAGCCTTGCATGTAAAAAAACAAAGAAAAAAATATAGACCTTACCTCGTTTTAAGACTTCTCACCGGTGACGAGACAGTTAGATCGAATATTTAAGGTATTTTTGAAGGTTTAAAGATTTGTAAAAAATTAAGAGAAAAGGAGGAGACTGGCTGCATAAACAAAAGTGGAGAGGGGAAGTAAATTTGGTTTAGCAAAAACCCTTATAATAGTATATATTATATTAGAACCAAAACTACATAGTTTTGGAGATTAGGGTTCCCTCCTGATGTAGCATGGATAAATCGTGTGAGTGGGGTCTCTGAGTTCAAGAATATTTCATTCTGGTCCTTAATTAATGTTTCCCAAACTTATGATTTTGCCTCTCATTTTTGTGCGCATCGAGCCTCTCGACAATTCCGTTGTTTCGAAGGGAGTTTCTGATTCCGCCAAGGAGTCGATGAAGAGGACTATCTCCACTATGCTAGGGATTCTCTCGTCTGATCAGTTCTCCATTTCAGTTTCCATCTCGAAACCTCCTCTTCATCGCCTCCTCTTCTCTTATATCGTCACAGGGTAATATATTTTATTTTCAACCTTAAAAAGGTGAAATTCTTTATAATTTATTGCATTTTTCCTGGAAAAAAAAACCCTACTATATTTTTAGTTATACATTGTGGAACGCGGAGTATAGAGTTTCATTGACGATGAATCTGGAAAGAACAGCACGTATAGAGGAGACGGCGGAGGAGACAGAGGAAGCTGTTAGCCGGCGGCAGGGAGAATTGTTTGAGGAGAAAAGGGAGGAGAGAGCGAGTCAAAGTGATAGATTTCAAAAGTTCGAGAAGATAGGGCCGAGGATTTTCGGATATTTATCACCAGAGGCTTTGAAGTATTTTCAGAAATTGCAGGCAGAGTTATGTGAAGCGGAGGAAGTAAGGATTTTAGATTTCATATGTGTGAAATGATGTTTGATATGATTATATGAATTATGTTTAGGTAATTGTAGATTTTCATGTTTCTGAAAATGCCTTCGGGTATTTAAATTGTAGTTTGTTCATTGAGTTTGTAGTGATTGGATTCCTTCATCCTGTCTGTAGGCTGAAGCCACAACTAGACCTGAAAATTTGTATCCCTTCGGTTGTCGTTTCAGGTTTATGTTGTCTCTCAGTTTGTCTTTTGTGTTGTGTGTTCCTATTGAGACAACCATGTTTTAACAATCGATTTTATACATCCCTTTTCTTTCCTTGTTATATGCTACTAAGAGTGCTTATATTGATCATTTTCATGCTGGTTTTCGGAAGTTCGGCATAAAATAAAAGTTATTAGTGATGATCGACAAGAATCTTCCCTTGCTGCATTTGGTGGATCATGGTAATTAATGGTGTCATGCTGGTTATTTGTATTTGATAATTGCCATGTTTGTATCGTGTCTGATATTGTGTAGTCTATGACAATCATGTTTCCACAGTCAATTTTACACTGCCCTTCTTTTTCCTTGTCGCATGCTAATTAGAACGTTCATGTCGATCATTGTCATGCTGGTTTTCTAAGGTTTGACATAAACTAGCGTTACTTTATGGTGATCAACAAGAATCCATCCTTCCTCCATTTGGTGGATCGTAGTACTTCAATAGTTTGGTGTGTGTATATATATATATCTGTTTGCCCAAAAGCACATTAAGTCTTTATTTGGCTATTTTTCATAGTTGTTAATATGCTTTTTTTTTGTATGTTACCTCTATATAAGCTAATACTTGTTTTATTTTGTTTCAGGAACTGAATGCACGAAAGAAAGAAAATGTGCGAATAGAATGTGAAAGAGAAAACAGGAATGATTTGTTAGAGTATTTAAGATCCTTGGATGGCAACATGGTAATGACTGAAAACATAGTTTTTATTACATATCTTGTTCTGAAATTGAATTATCTTAGTTTGATATCCACATGAAACTCGAAACATTCTCAGTACATGTAATTTTTTGTTGCCAGGTCACGGAATTATCCTAACCGTCATCACTACAAGTGGAGGAAATAATCAACCAGCTTGTTCGAAACATATTGCAAAGGCTCTTTAAAAACGAGCTTATGAGAGATTCGAGGATAGTGAACAAAGTAAACCATCAAGATACTTCCGAAAAAAATTCTGGCACTGTTGGAACATCCCGGGATTACCTAGCAAAGCTGCTTTTCTGGTACGCTTTTACAAGTCCTTAAAATTTTCTAACAGTGGGTGCATTTGCAGCGTTTGGCTCATCTTGTGCCAAATGCATAAACATGTCATTATCCACATGCATCCGTCTATAGTTGCCTTATTGTAACATAGACATTGATAAGCACGCCTTCATTGTAATGTATCCAATGTAGCATTATTTGTTCCGTTTTGTTTGTGTTTTCTGCATCGATATTTGCCTTCCGGCTTCTAACATTTAAGATTTTATTTTCTTCTGTCAGGTGTATGCTATTGGGTCATCATTCGAGAGGCTTAGAGAACAGATTGCATCTAAGTTGTGTTGTGGGATTATTATAGAGTAAGGTTTATGAAGTGTATATTATATTTTACCCTTTTTTGACGTTTTAGTTTTTGGTTTATCCAGTAATGTACATTCTTCTCCATGAAACTATTTATAAACTTGTATTGTTTCAACTCTTGACGAATAATCAAATATGGATATAGGAACATGATCCTTTAAGAACCTCTAAATATTTGAAGAAACTTTTTTAAAAACTGAATATGCATGTGCTCCCACCAGATTGAGGTTATGAAAATTCATGAATTACTCAAAAATGCTGAAATGGTTTGGAAGCAAAACAAAACGGTAAATTTGTTGGGATAATGCAGTGAGAAGATGAATTCGTTCATATCAGGTGTTGTAGAATTTGTTTTTGCGAATAAGGTGAATGCAACAGTGTTAATCAGAAGTCACATGAATCACTTGATGTCTTTGGAAAGACGTACGAAAATCATGGTGTCTTCCCGCATTAGTTCTTGTGTTTGTCTTCATCTTCTTTCCAAGCTCCATCAATGGTGCCGCTAGGTTCCATGCCTTCTGCTCCAAAAATGGCCCAAATAAGTTGACCCTCAGCCAGCTCGAGGTCACCAACAATGGGATCACCAATTTTGCGTCCAGAGCTATTTGGAAGACGTCGAGTCTTCCATGCGTGTTTATAAATACATCGGATGATTCATGCCTCTTCCTCAATCCACTATAGAGAATATTCAAGAAAATAAAGTCTGAAAATTCTTATTTGGGAAAAAAATTTCTCCTCTTTATATGGGTGATTTTTCTAAACAAACAATCTTGCTATAAAATTAGCTGAAATAATATTTTCTCAGCTTCTTTTGTGCTGATATTTACACAAAAATAATCGAAGAAACTAAAGAATACAAAAGTGAGTCGAAAGATGTGAGAGATGAGCAAACGAAACAAATCACAAAGAATCCAATCCAAGTCCGTCCAATGGCTGCTTTTGCTTGAATTTGTACAAATCATAAGGTGCCCACAAGAAATCAACTGAGCAAGGTCTGTTTGCATCTAGTCTCACCCATGGCTTCCCTTTCCCACTCCAATGAAGCAAACTTACAGGACCCGGGTGCAATGGCCTGCAACTGTTCACCAAATTATCCCCACCTAGTCCATGTTGGTTCCACCTATGATCAATGGCTTCAACATCCCCACCAAAAGCCAACAAAAATGGTGGAAGAGAGCCCAGTTCATAGATCCTTTTATCTTTCTGAATCCTCATCCATCTCTCAATCTCCCTTGTGTAATCACCTTGTCTCCATCTTCCCAAGTCCATAACCATCACCCCTGTATTGAAATAACAAGCTTTCATGCCTTGAAAATGCTTGGCAAATTCCGGGTTTGACCAGAAATCATCTGTGAAATACTTGCCCAAGTTCGCATTACAGTACTCGGGTGCTCCGATTACCCTTGAACCTGTCAAATTTATGCTCCACAGCTTTTGTATGTCGTCTACAACAATGGTGTCTGAATCTAAATAGATCACTCTTTCGATGCAGGTTTCGAGTATGTCAGCCAAGTAGTTTCTCGCGTAATTCAAAGGGCTCTCGAGCGCTTGGCGGATAGAAGATGATATGAGATTCTTGACAAGTTTTTCCTGGAAAACATAGACCTTGAAACTCAATGATGGAAAGGAAGACTTCAGAACCCAGTCGTAGAGGTTTGCATCAACCGAGCTCGAATCTGAGGCAATGAAATGGAACAACACATTTTGCGGACAGGAACCATGTTTGAGAATTGAATGGATTGATGCAATAGTGCCTCTGAGGTATTCAGGATCAATTGTCATTGCAATATGAACAGTGGAAGGGTCGCATATCAAAGTTTGTTTAGACAAAACAGGACATTGAGGTCCATTTTGATACACAGGGGCCTCCATGAACAAACCTGATACATCCCCAGCTTTGAACAACCTGATTGAATTTGCAGGGAAAAGCAGCAATGAAGCAAATAAAATAACACCCAAAACAGATCTTGATAGGAACATGATGATAATGATTGTTGGAATCCAAGTATGAAGCTTAAAAAGAAGGGATTTGAATAAGTTTCTTAAGAAAGAAGTATTGGAGAACGATGGCTCCAAATGGAACTGAAATGAAAAGGGGAAAAGTAAGTGTAATAATTTATATGAAAAGCAGAAGACATGAAGAGTAAGTTTAGATTAGTCCAATATGCCTGCTACGCGTATATGAATCTGAATGAGAAGTTTCAGTGGTTTGATGGACTCATTTTTCAAAATAATATTATTAGAACTGTTGGCTTCCAGGAACCTGCTTGCCACCGGGTTAACGTGGGTTTGTCATTATATACTATCAAAATTAGTCTAGTGAGATGAGGTATTATATTTTTTTATGCAAAATTAGACGTTTAAATGTTGACGTCGTGAATGGAGCAAAATGAATTAGAATGATCACTCTATATCCATGCAATATTTGATCGGGATTAATCAATCAATAGATCAAATAATAGTAGCTATAAAAAATGGATTTGAGTGTTTTTTTATTAAATAAAGAAGAATTACATTTTTAAGATAAGTATTAGAATTGAATTTACTCAAAGTTAACATCACGTGCATCCTTAATCTTTCCACCAATTAATATAAAGTTTGAGTGTTTTTAATATCAAATTTTTAGAAAGTATTAAGCAAAGATGCCAAACAAAATCACTAAAATTTAAGGGTAAATTACACGGGTGACCATCGAACTATGGTCATAAATTATTTTGACCACCAACGTTTGGAAACGATCAAATTGACCACTCAACTATTTAAATGGTTTACTCAAACCACAATCCGTTAATTTTTAATCGATGTGATGTTGTCGCAATTAATAAAAATTGTATAATTATATATTTAGTCCTTATATTAATACATTCTATCAATTTAATCACTATTTTAATTCAATTAAATAAATTTAATCCTCCAATCCAGACGTGCCACGTGTTATTATAAGGTTGGAGGTTGAATTTAATTAATTTTGATATTTTAATTAAATAGTTTTTCCATCAATTAGATGGCGACATGTGTCACCACTGTGTAAAGGGAAAACAAATTAAACTTACAAAGTAGATTGCGCGGGGTGAGGGATTCAATCCAGGGACCATAAAGAGTCCCTAAACAAGCATTTGCCATTATGTCAAGATACCCATTTGGTTCAAAATCGCACAACCTTTTATATATTGTATTTAAGGTTATTTCACACACATATATATTAAACTATTAAAACAAATCAAATAAATAAATTATATTTTACATATATATTGAATTATAGTTCATGTAAAACTAAAAAAAAAAGTGAGTTAAATATTTTTATTTAAATTATTTTTATAATTATTTTAAAATTAATAATATATAAAATATATTAAAAATAAAATTATTTAGAGAATTCAAATCACAAAATAAAAACCAGTTTAAGTTTTTTATTTTAATTATTTTTTAAAATTATTTTTAAATAAGAATATATAATTATATTAAAAAATAAAATTATATTAAAATTATTTAAAGAATCAAAATAATTAAATAAAAATAATTAAATTTAAAATAAAAAATATTAAACTTTCATTTTTTAATCTTAAATTAACTATAATTTAATATATGTAAAATACAATTTATTTATTAGATTTGTTTTAATAATATATATGTGTGTGAGAGATAACTTTGAAAAAAATATATAAAATGTTGTGCAAAATTGAATTACTGATCTAGTGGCAAAGGTTTGCCCATTGACTCCTTAAAGTCCTTGGATCGAATCCCTCTACCAACCCCAAGGTGCTTTTTAATGTTTGATTTGTTTATGGTGTGACAAATGTCACCACTTGATTGGAGGAAAGTTTTTAAATTAAAATATTAAAATTAATTAATTTGCAGTGGGTTTTGGTTCCAACAGTCACGTGTCCTCCTTGGACTGCTCCATTTAAAAAATTTCATTTACATGACGACAAAAAACACTTCGAACAGTTAAAAAAAAAACCCATTGATCACCCACCTACAATATATCATTTTTCATATTTTAAGAAAATACCAAATGAAAACTAACTACACGTATAAAACCTTTTCATTGACTCAAAAACGAAAAGAAAAGCATTAAAATCCTATATTAAATGATATAAAACAAGCAAAAGAAAAGCATTACAAACAGTTTGGATCAGAAAGAGAGCAAGGGCAAGCATCGAAAGCATAAGCTATCATAAAATCAACATCACCAACCACAGTACCTGTAAAGCATGCAAAGCATTGTGCAAGTAAATGTCTAAATTAAACTCATCTTAGCGTTATTCAGCTTCAGGTCACTTCAGCAAACTGTTTCTAGATATTATTAATATACGGAGAGATATGAGATGCATTTTATTAGGATGAAAAAGAAAGAAACATCCCCCCAATGCTCTATGGCTCATTCTACATGAATAGGCTAATTGAAAAGGGCAGCTCATCTAGTGAAACATAAATTCCTATTTACACTATCATAACGTTTCCTACATTCGGGACACCGCCCATCCACTTCAAGAATCCTTTTGTGACAGAACAGGCAAAGCCGAAATCCACATGAACAAGGGAGAAAACTAGAGTCTGTGGCATCCAAGTTTTCATAGCAGATACGGCATGACGAAGGGTGAGACAATACTTCTCTGTTCCCAGGTGATAGCCCCATTGCCACTGCACCAATCAGATTTCAAAGAAATATCATACTGTTTTGAAAGTCTGGGAAGACTTCGAGGACATAAAACATCATCAGGTCCCCATGCTCGACAAACCCTGGGAAGACCTCGAGGTCGCGAAACATCATCAGGTCTCCATGCTCGACAACTTGTCAGTGAACCATAAACTGTTTGCCTATTCTCTGAATTTGACTGATCTATTCCTTGGTCCTTGAACTGTTGGTCAGCACCAGCAGATTCAACCATTGTTTCGGATTTAGCAGGAGAGTTCATGGCTGAGTCATGCTGATTGTCATCTGCACTCAAGGCATCTGCAACATCCTCCCAATTGCCTAGGCACCCATCCTTATCTTCCTCGCTGACACTTCAGAACAAGAACCACTGCTACTGCCACTGCAACCATGCACACCAATAGCTCCCTTTGAGTCATTATTACCCAGATCAGTTTGAATGGAGAAGTTCAATGATCCCGCATCACTGTCATGGATGCTCATGTCTTCACTTTCGTCTTCCCTCAAATTTGTTTCCAAATTCCGTAATGATTTGTTTCGCTCATCAGCTCTCTTTGTAGACAATGGAGGAGACCCAGCGCTCCCATTCAAATCCACCCTGCAGTCCTTGTTCTTTACTGCATTTACAACCCGACTCCATTATGAACTCAACAGATTAATTTACGAAAAATATAGTAACTTGGTATTTTTTCGCCAATCCAAACCCAAAAGCCAGCTTATCTTTTCATCCCATAAATAAGAAAAAGATCACTTCTTTCAAATTAATTCCTAGATCTTACCAATGAATTTACCTTGGGTCAGAAGCTTTCTGCTTTTACCATAACTCTGTCCGTATGGTTCTACGTATGCATTGATATTCACAATGTGTATCCGCCAATACCTCCAGTACTATGCATATATATATATTAAATGCTTAAGAATAAAAGAAATAAATAACTCAACATAACTATGTCGATTAATGGCATTAATTTGATTTTTAAAAAACGAAAGAAAATTTTTAACAATAAATATTTGAATACTCAATTATTTTCCCACCACATGTCCTCACCGCACCTTCCGATATAAGCAATTCATTCCTAACAATTCTTTTTCTAAAAAATGCCGTGTAAAAATGCTCCATTGAGTTCTTTGTGAAAGAAAAAAAAAACAATCTTTCTATTGAAAAATTCACATTCAAAAGAAAAGAATATAATATTGAAAATAAAAACAACAAGGAAAAAGGAGATTACCTTGAGATAGCCATTGTTCACGCCTAGCATTGAACTTCGACTGCTTCAATTTCGCCAAACTATTTGTCTATATCCCAAAAAAAAGGATCTCAAAATATGAAACTAATCTACATTTTCTCAAGAAACAATCAGAAATCATTTAAAAAAAAAGAGATAAAAATAAAATTTACTCACTCTCTTCTTCTTGGAAGGGCAAGACAGAAGCATTGGAGGTAAAATCGGAAACCATGGTGAGAAGTAATTTAACGGTGAGAAGTAATTTAACGGTGTTCGCTGAAGTTGAAAACTCTTCATCGGAAAAGAGAATAAAGCCGAGTACTGGATAGAATGAAAATGGTAGAATTAGAGAGAGAGAGAACCTCTGCTTAAATTATATTTCCTGGGACGTCCTGAAATTGATTTCTTCAATTTATATAATTGTCTACTTACTATAATGCCCTTCAATTTTCATTTTTTTACCAAATTATTTATGTTTTTTAGAAAGAGAAATTAAAGAATTCCTTATTATGTACTTAACTTTAAATAATGGCGTTTTTCCAAAAAAAATCACTGGTGACCCGTATATTTACCGATCTAATACCGGTCAGATTATATTTTCCGATCTAACACCTTTTGCAGTAAGGCGTGCCCCCTGCAGCGCGCTATACGCTGATTTGGCGCCACGTGGGGTAAGGCACGCCCCTTGCGACGTGTCTTATGCTGACATGGATACACGTGTGTATAGCGCGTGTCAGGGGTCGCGCCTGACCTTTATAATTATATATAGCGCGGGTCAGGGGCCGCGCCTGACCTTTATAATTATATATAGCGCGGGGCAGGTATCGCGTCTTGTATAATTGTTAAAACTTTTCTCGGCTATAAATACCCTTCTCCCCCTGGTTAAGTTCCTCACATCTCCTCACATCTCTCCTCTCAAACTTATAAATTAATACAACAATTCCGTCAACGAGTCAATAATTCTGACAATTTTCTCATATTTTATTCAGAAGTTCGTGCGATTTTTCGTTATAAGGTAATTTTATGATAAATTTTTTTATTATATTTATTGTTTATTATGATTATTTGAAAAAATATTATACTAATTGTTGTCAATTAATTTCTGTGTTTGTAAAATTAGAAAGCGGGAATATACGTCGAAATAGTTCTACGGTACAGGTAATAATATAAAATTATATTATTTAAATTATTTACGTTTATGTGTAAAAAATTTATTCTGTTATATTTTCGTTCATATATTATTTATTTAATCAACATTGTTTCAGTTTTTTTTTTGCAGATATAATATTGTCGCACTTTTAAACTCAAAGAATGACGCGACTTTCAGCTTTTTTTATTATGATGGTGAAATTCGAGAAGATGAAACCGGCGTTGTTTTCGTATCAAATGAGCGTGTTAAAATATCATTGAAGAGAAACATAACTCTTGAGGAGCTGATAACGAAGATTTCGAGGAAGATTCACGTTGGAAGTATTAGAAGAATTTCGTCGTTGCAGTATAGATTTCCAACATCATTGTTGCCATTAACTTATACAGCGTTCGAACTTTTGAACAATGATGATGTTAAAATGATGGTTGAAGCTCAAAGTAATTATTCAGACGCCGATATTGAGATGTATGCAAATTTTATTCAAGTGTGTGCCGTTCGAGGTCAATCATTAAGTTCCCACTATGGGCTGGCTGAACAAGTTGACAGCCCGACGACAATAATGTGTAATAATTTTAATGCCATAATGGGGAGACATTCATCCGCAACTCCTTACGATATGTACCGAGGTGGGTCGACGAACAATACGTATGGCAACATCGCGTCCAGTTCAAGGGGAAGGCATTCATCTGCAAATCCGTTTGACCTTAATATGGAGATGCCATCGACGCAACCATCTGTGCAGTTCCATTTGACACGATGGCTTCAAGCTCTAGGGGGAGGCATTCGACTGTGAGCTTTTTCGATCTCAATGTCGATATGCCTTCTAGTTCAAGGGGAAGACGTGCAAGTAGTAGGTTCTCCGACCTAAATGTGGAGCGCATATGGAACCATCATCTCCACCAGAAAAACCATTTCGTGAGCCTAGTGCGGATGGTGCTGAGACTGGACTATTCATTCACCCAGAATCACCGTAATTCAACTCTGATGATGATGAAGTTCCAGGAAATGTGGCACAAACTAACCCTCCTGCATACATGTATGAAGTTGATTATGGTGCAATGTACGGGCCAGAATTTGCGGATATGCCTCATCTCGGTGACTATGGATATTACTCATCAATAAATAATGGCGAGTTATCTTTAGGTATGGAGTTTTCAAGCAAAGAAGAAGCGGTGATGGCTATAAAAATTACAATATCCGTAATTCTGTTTAGTCTAGAGTCAACCGATCCACGACCGAAAAATATGTATACTACTGTGCCTGACGCGAAAACGGATGTAATTGGATGGTTCGCGTATCGAAAAGGAAGAGGAAAAACAACATATGGGAGCTAACAGTATACAACGGTCCTCACACATATTGTGTTGGAGGGGTCAACTAAGATCATCCCAACTTGGACTCTGAAGTGATATGCCAAGTCATCATGCCCATGGTAAAAGCAAGCTCTCATATAGCTGTTGTTGTGTTGATTTCATCTATACAATCGTAGTATGGGTACACTGTCTCCTATAAAAAAGCTTGGTTGGCAAGACAAAATGCCATTGTCAAACTTCATGGCGAATGGGATGCATCTTACAATGAACTTCCAGGCTGGTTTAGGCTGGTGCGGAGGTTGAATCCTGGGACAATTGTGGACTTCGAAACCTCCAATGCATACCATAATGATCGAGTTCTCCGCGATCGATGCTAATTCTACCAGGTTTTTTGGACTTACCCACAGTGCGTTAATGCTGTCAAATACTACAAGCCTGTGGTCCATATCAATGAGACTTTCTTGTTTGGAAAATACAAGCAAGTTTTATTATTGGAAGTTGTCCAAGATGGCAATCGCAACATTCTTCCAGTTGTTTTTGCTCTTGTCGAAGGAGAAGATACAGATTCTTGGGGTTTTTTCATCCGAAATTTACGTGCACGTGTTATCACGAGGGAAAACATCTGTGTCATTTCAGATCGCGGAGCTGGGATCAAAGCAGCAATGGAGTCTTTGGGTTCAATGTGGCAACCACCCTTTGTCCAATATAGGTATTGCTCTGACACATTGCTTTGAACTACCATGGAAGGTACAAGAAGAATGATGAGCGTCAATTAATTGTGTGCATGAGTAAGTGAAACTGATGTAGTTTGTTTTCTTTCGATCGTTTTAATTTTGCAAAGAAAACAAGTTAGTAAGTTATACATTTCTTGATCAGGTTACGAACTACTTCCTCGAACATTTGAATCAATGCTTTAAGATTTACGGGCGAAGAATGAGAAAGGATACGATTACATCAGCCTCATCGATAAAGAAATGTGGACGAACGCATATGATGGTGGATATTGATATGGACACATGACGACCAACTTGGCAGAGGCAATCAATTCAACTTTAAAGGGTGCACGTCACTTACCAGTAGCGGCTTTGGTAAAGACTACATATTTTCATTTGGGGGCGCTTTTTGCAAAGCTCGGGCGACAAGCTCAAACCTGGATGCAAGGCGGTCATGTCTATCACCCTAGATTAGTTGCAGATCTACAGAAATTTTTTTTTGCATCAAATGGAATGTCTGTAACAAGCTTCTCTAGAAGGCATGAAATGTTTCGTGTCACAGAGTTGCCGCGACCTCTTCAATAGATTGAAGCTGTGTTGTTAAGAGTAAATCTAAGGGACAGAACGTGCGACTGCGGGTTTTTTCAAGCTCTTAAGTATCCATGCTCTCATGTGATAGCAGCTTGCTCGCATACACGTCAAGACTATAACCATTTTGTGGATCCCGTATACCTACTATCTGAAGATTTTAAGGTATACGAATTTGAGTTTCCCCCTATAGGTAATGACAAAGACCCTGATGAGGTTCAAGATTGGCATCCGATTATACCAAATTCGAGTTTATTGAGGGAGCATGGTCGTCCAAAATCTAATCGAATTCATTACGATATGGATATTCGAGAAAGATCTAGACAAGACAGAAGATGTGGGCATTGTAGAAACCCATGACACACTAGAAAAACATGTCCACTTCCGTTGCCATCAAGTAATAATTGATGAGGAAATGATGTATTTGTTTATCAAATAATAATTCTTGTACTTTAATTTGCATTTACTTCAAGTTAATGTCATTCGATAATCGCTGATGAAGATTAAAAAAATGATATAATAATACGAGATTGGACGTTTGCGTTATATGTGATTATAATAAAAGAGATAATAAGTGACAAACTTAATAAAGTTATCGAACAATTTGGTATTTCAAAATAATTTTAAATACAACAAACTTACAATAAGTATTAAATGGTAAATGATAATCAAATTACAATAACTGCTATTAAATGGTAATAAACAAAATTAACTGAAATACATTAAAAAAATCAAACAAATTTAACAAAATAAAGTAAGTATTAAAATGAGAAATAATAAAAAATTATAATTTTAAAAAGTCCAATAAACTAAATACAAATATAATAAAAAAACAAAATCTATCGATGCTTGCGACGCGAATGTGTTCCGCAGGGCGGTGGCTGTCGGTCTCGAGGAGGATTTCTTCATATCACTTGTTGTGACTCCTCGCTGTCATCATCATCACCATTATCATCGTCGTCGTCGTCGTCGTCGTCCTAAGTAGGTAAATTAGGTTGATGAGGAGCTGATGACGATGAAGCACCTCCATAGAATAAGGACCCTGGAGGTGTATGACTGACTATCCCACCGGCCTACGAAAACTGGGAAAACTCATAAAACCCAGACATCGCTGAGTGTGAAAACTGTACAGGAGGTGTCTGTGCTGCAGCCATGGGTAATGAGGCTGAACCCGCCAAATATCCAGCATATGAACCCCAAGTCAAATCTATAAACATAGACTCATAATAGCCTCTAGGAGGGTCATCTGTGACGGTGGGGTCATAAAATCAAGTGAAGGCGGCGGCGGCATCTGGTAATGGAAAGGCGGTGGTGGCATCATATATGGCTGTTATATGTAAGTCGCTGGATACGGTGGCTGCTATGAAGGTCCTGCTGGTGCAGTTGAGGATGAACTGGAAGCACCTGCTCTTCGTCTACCAGTCGGGGGACGATGATATTGTGTCGGTGAACGTCTCTGTCGACGTCGCTGAAAGGTATGCCCTCGTGCATCCTCAGGAAGCAGAAACGGTTTCTCGTTACTATTGAACCACTCGTAATAA